CACGGGACTGTCGTTTTTGGACAGATGAGCATCGCCGTCACCGGTGAGAACAGAAGCCGGACTTTGTTTGCGGGACTGTCGTTTTGGGACGGTTTTGAGCACCGCCGTCACCGGTGAGCAAGAACAAAGCTTGCACGTGTATATGGTACACACGACAGAACATCCAAGTCTTGCTATGCGCGCAGCAAGCAGACGCCATGTACAAGGCAGCCAGGAGAGGGGGGGATGCGGGAACCCTTCGCAGCATCGGTGAGGGCGAACCGAACGGAGCGTATATAGCAGACAAGGGATGCCGTCTGAGGAGTAAGAACGACTTGTACAATGCTCACCTGTTGCCCCCACATCACACATCACAACCAGCCTCTGCTGCAAGGCAAATTAGGCGCAGGGCTTCGAATTAACGTGCACGATGCTGTAGTCGTCTCTCAGCTCGTAATCCTGCCCTCTCCCGGCCATGTTGACTTCATGTTCATCACAAGTCTATCCAAAATACCACAAGTACGCAGGAGCCAGAAAACAAACAACAAGCGCATCAACAGTTCCTCCGTCATCAAGGTCTCCCATTGTGTCTCTCTCACCCCAACGTATCGGTTGAGCTCAGCCAGCCTCGACACGCACGCGGCCGCCCTAGGGTTTCCCAGGTCTGCCTCCGAAAGGTAAAACTGAAAGTACCGCCATGTGACAGTCCAACCATGTGACGGCGGGGACAACGAGCAGTAGCATCAGCAGCAGCAGCAACGAGAGAACACGGAAGGTCGGCGAGTGCACACGTCGTCAAGCAGGTTGTTGATGTCTGCCTCTGTTGGAGGTTGTACCCTCGGCCTTAACAATGCGGCCCGATGTATGATGTACGATGTGTGCATGCCATGTGGAAGTGCGCCTCTTCGACCGCGACTTCTTCCCTCAAAAGGTTGCGGTACGGCTGAAACTGCAGCGCTGCTTACAACACACCAGAGCAATTCGAAACTAACAGTACAGGGAGGGTATCGCGTAGGGCGATCTGCAGCATCGAAGAAGCAGAGCATACATGGTCTGGCATGGCAAACAATCAGCCGCAGATAAGGCACTGCACTAATGGCGGTGGACTGCGGTGTTCGAAAAGACATCGCTGCTCAGTAGCGGCGGGGGGGCGGGATGAAGCGACAACCGCGCGTTCGTGGTGGATACGGCCGTCTACACGTCAACTCTGGGTAGCTTCGCCCGGGCCGTGTGCATTAGTACCAGAATCGCCGTGTGCAATCGAGGGAAATGAGTGGCGACTTGGCCTACATTTTGAGTACTACGAAACGTTGTCCGCCATGAACCCCGTGTCTACATACTGCCGTGATTCCGGCAAAACAATGAGGATCACGCACGTACCTGTGCAGACAAGTCGCTCCACTCGGCGAGTCCGTCGTCGAGAAGGGTCACCGATTTCACACCGGCAAGGATGACGTTCTTCGCAACCTCGGCACCCAGCCCGTTCGCACCCACGATCAGCACGTTCGACGTAGCCATACGTCTCTGTGCCGGGTGGGAACCGGGAAAACATAGGGGGTGGATAGGCAGGTAGGCAGCCAGACACACACCGAGAAGTTTTTTTTTTGTAGTCAAGCCCGGCATGAACCGGGTCAGGTAAGGGGTTGCCGGGTGAAGTTAATCACCGCAACCGTGAGCGCGAAATCCAGGGGAGAAAACCACGGGGCACCACGTACGTGGAGTATGCATCTAGTACATCAGCTCAAGATACGCGAGCGATAGCGATAGCGATCAAGGCGGGCGAAGCAAGGCCAAACCGTTCGGGCACATCATATAATATCTCCCAGCTTGGCGGGATATATGGACTCCACCAACACTAGTACAAATGAAAACCGTGCCATTCAAACGGACCAGGAACGAGGATAAAGTCCGTTCCAAAGAAACGGTTGTGTTCCAGAGAGGCTACAACCCGGAGCACGAACACCCAAGAACAATAATGTATACCGTAGTTACTCGGTACGCCAAACGTGGAGAAAAAGCTGGTCCTCGCGGTTCTCCCTGCGGCAAACACCGTACTCGCTGTGGACCTCTATGACAACGTACTTGACACAAGCGCACGAACACTAGAGCGTGTTTCATTCGCACATACACACACGGGCCAGCAGCAATGATGGACCCGGTTCATGACATACTAGCATGTCAATTGTTGTGCTATCTCATCAAATGACTTCTTCGGTGTCGATAGTTCGTTGCACCTTTCGGTGTAATTCTTGACGCACCAGCCGGGGTCGTACAGCAGGAGAAAGGGAAGGCCACACAGAACTATAATTTGCTTTGGTTTTTCGCTCGGCCATACTTCTGCGGTGCTCGCCTCACAATTTATGGACTCTGTACATATATGTCCTGCTCAAAACAAAAACCAAAACAAAAAATACACGCACATATTTTCGTGTGGATGGTCAACACGAAACACAGGCAAACGTGCATACACAACAATAACGGCATGAAAAAAACGTTTTATAGACAAGTAGGATGAGTTTCTTGCGACTTGTACACGAGTAAACTCGGTACTGCTGTACCTGGGCCTCGTGCCCCATGACGTACAGCTGGCGAGAGTAAAGCGACTCGTCAACGCCGGCCTTGCTCCCGCCGCCACCGGCCTCAACGGCCTTACCCCCCTCGGCTGGATCAGGAGGCATGGTTCTAACCCTGCGGGGACGAACGAAGAAAGGCCGCGGTTTGGGGTTGGGTTGGCGCCAAAGAGACTTGATTGGGCATCTAAGCGAAATGAGAAGGCCGTTTAGAACCCACTTGGTCTATCTGTTGTAAATAAAAAAATGAGAGTCTTCAAAAATTGACCCAAATGACTGCATTCGTTACCGGTGAAGCACACAACAGTTAAACTTCGCGCGACAACACCAAAACGCTGTGACGAGCTCAGTGAAGGTCGTCGTTAAGCACGAGGCGGTTGGGAATATGACAAGGTCTGCCGTGGGGCACGCTGCGGTTACAGCAGCTGATCGTTAGTGAACAGAGACATGTACCTTTGAAGGAAGGTGAAGGTCGACCGTCCAATCTGAAATACTGAGCGAAAACGCCAACAAAACATAAAACCACTGCGGCTCGAGGGTGGTGCATGTAAGAAGAGCGAGGGAGGTCGAGATTCGACAAAGACGGTAGGACAATGAAAGACCCTCACAAGACTGAAATACAAGGAGGGATTGCTTCAGTACCTTTCGTCCGAGTCAGGCTTGTCGATACATCATCCAACACAAGGTGCGCTGCCCGGCCAAGCCTAACTGAAAAAAGAAAGTATCACACACGGTTCCGACGGGTAGTGGATCCGGGACGACGCTCATCTACAACAGCCTGCTCAACTTGAGGCCAAGCCTGTAAAATCTACTGCTATTCCTACGCGGCGCCGACGGGGGTCGGGGGGGAAGACGCCAAGCGGCAATGAACTTACCATTCGCCACAATAGCTGAAAACGAAGCGCCTGCTGTGAGTGTGCTCGTGTTTCATTCAATTCGCATCGGCCTCAAAAATCGGCTCAAGTAGCCAAGGACGAAATGACTAAGGGTCAACTGGACAAAAAAACGCCACCACTGATGGGTTACGGCAGTCTAAGGCGTCCACTACGTGGGCCTGGCCCCCGGGGATGGGGGGCACGCGGACAAGACTGGATAAGAACGGCACAGCAGTCGGCCAAATCGTTTGATTAAGGACGCTACACAGCACCATGTGGATGTATGCGCGTTCTCTTCGAACAGCATCGGCCGCGCTACATATCTGGTTGAGCGATGCACAGCAGTTCGCGCACTGTATGATAGATGGCTAGCACAAGGTCTCCCTTACCCGAACAAAATAGAAGCTGGCCATGACCATGGATGGCATCAAGCTGCAAACCGCATTACTCTCTATCGTTTCGGAGTGTAATAGCATTCCATATGAGGCAGCACCAAGCACTCGTGGCCAGCGCACGGGACAAAATGCACTGATTGGTTATAACGTGCTACCGCCGCATTGCCGCAAGTAATGCAATGCAACACGAGTCCATAAGTTGATTTGTGGGTTCCTTTAACTAACGAAGGAGGGGGAGGTCGTACAAGGTGTAACCAAATGTGTGCGAATCAGATCCGAGTCAGAACGCGGTGGCGTGTTGCGCGGCCATTCTCTCTCTGGTGCCTCTACTTCGTAGACAACCCCCTTCATCCTGCCAAAAAAGATGGGGTGTTTGCATTACGATCGTATCCCGCCTTGCAACGCGGCAGACAGAGAGCGCCATGTTGAGGATGGCGAGCGGCGATGGGCTGCTCTTTTTCCGCGGCCTGTTTCCGACGACGCTAGAAAATGAATGACCCGTATCGTTCGTGAATCTGTCAATACGGGATTTTACAAATCTACCACGCAAGACGGAGTGCAACATCGAGATCACAACACAAGAGGATCCTGCTGCAGGGAGAGACCAGTCCTAAAGGAAAATATGGCAAGCAGAAAGGGGGCAAAGCCAGCAGCACGTGGAAGCAAGGGCAGGCAAGAGCGCTCAGATCCGCCCAAATCGGCTTCCCACAATCACACGCCTTTCCTTTGCTCGTGCGGGATGGTCCAACTGAAAAAACAGACGAGAACGCAAAGCTTGTTGATACGAAAAAAAACTCTGCTGTTGACCAACTCTCGGCACCACGGGAGTCTCTCTCTGCTGGCAAGCACTGAGCGACCTGCTTACTCTTCGTCTCTCGCTGCTGGCGCTGTTGTTGAACGGACAGATCGATCATATCTTTGGTCCTACCTCTTTGAGGCCGGCTCGGCCACCGTGTAGCTTTGCGGGGAGGAGATTTCTCTGCTCCCTTGCTTTTGCTGATGCTGGTGAATGGATGCACGCACGAGCTCTCTCGGCGTGGTCGTGGCCTGTGTCCTGAGAAGGTGTTTTGTTGGGCTCCTCCCCGCCTGCTGTTGTTGTGTTCCGCAGAAGGGCCCTTGCATTCTGCGTTGCCCCCATCAACCCCGCGGCCTCAACCCCGCCACCCCCCCCCGCCCCCCCCCGCCCCTTTCCTAAGGGAACGAAGGGAGCACTCTCTTTGAAGGGCACACGCCGAAGCGACGCCTAGGCAGGGCAGGGAGTGCAGCCGAGGGACAGAAGTAAGGGGCCATGTCGGAACCAGCATCGCTTGCGGATGAGAACCCGGTGGCCAAAGCGTGAGTGCCGGCTAACTACTACTGCTGTCGTGTTGTGTGAGAAAAAAGTGGGTGGAAGATGCACTCGCCCTTTTGTTATGCGGCATGATGTGGGGATCTCTCCGGAGCTCGATAGCGGAGCGACGTTGGGAGTAGTGAGGTAGTGAGGTAACGGCAAGGCTCTGCGGCACCTAACAGTTCTCGCGGCGTGCGGTTGTCAGCCGTTCGTACCGACGGTGTTTGCCCTCACGTGGACACCTCTTTTCGTAGCTCAATGCGTTAGTCTGGGCGAGAGAGATCGAAAACAGAGTAAGGTTGATGTGAGCAATGCTCCGGGAGCGAATGTATGCAGCATAACGACAAACCCTTCGTGAAGTATAATGTGTTGTAAAGGTCACTTGCTTGCGAGGCCATGCTCGTCGTCTGTAGGGGCACGTCCCTGGGCACGGCTGATGGTTCGATAGGTTTGATTCTACAGTACATGCAGCCAGCCGCCCGCGAAGCAATCCTCGACGCATTACAGCCGTGGAGATGCTGCCGAAGTGTGTTCAACATCTCAACATCACAGCGCAGTGTCAATCAATCCTATTCTCTGACTCGCTTTGAGAGCTGGGTACTACAGGCATGTAATGTAGTGTAGCGATCGGATATCGGATGCTCCTACGGCTGTAAAACAGCTGCAGTGTCGACGCAGCAGAATTGCGCCGCGACGAATGTATTAGTTGTCATAATACTGCTGCTGCTAGATACTGCTTGCTCACAGGCCGTGCCTCCATGTGTGGTTACTGGGGCGGCAAAAAACAACTCCGTGTGTGTTTGTTGGTACCGTAGGGGTCCCTGTTTAGTGCCAGGTGCACAGTGCTGTAGTCTTCGTGTTTCCGGCGCGCAAACACTGAATGTCCAAGTCATTGCCAGTACTTTTGAATAGTGCCGGTAATTTTCTGGGGACGTACAGTCGAGGGACCTTTGTAGTGCCGGTATGTGTCGAGAGATTTCACCGGCACTAAACCGGGCACCCGGCACTATTGCAAATAATGCCAAAACGGCACTACCGTATATGACACAAGATAACACACCCCCTTGACCGATTTTCGAAGCTCGATTTCTCAACTGCAGGAACAGTCACAGCGCCGAAAACGGCGTCGTCAAAACCGTCTCGTTGAGAGCTTTTCGAAAATGTATCATTTCGTTTATGCATCCTCTTCGTCGTGGAGCAATCGAGCTTTGAAAATCGGTCCAGGGGGTGTGTTATCTTGTGTCATATACGGTATTGAGGGCTAGCCAATCCCTCATTAGTGCCGGTCTGGCACTTATGAGAACGTGTGCGATTTATGGTGTAGCGCTCACGCTTGCGGGGCCAAGTCAGTACTGTAGTACGAAATGGATCGACACTGCTGTTATTTGAAGTTCTAGTGTAAGCCTGGGCAGACTTTCTTTCCCACGACAAGTGCGGTTTCACCCTGTCGAGCCCACAGGAGTTTAATAAAATAAGATCGTTGCATTTCGGGCTACAGCAGTGCCTCACCAAGACTAGTCGACGGCGAAAGGGAAACACACATCATGCACCCGAGTAGGCTGTGACCGGCACAAACTGCTTGAAAAGCTCTCGTTCGTACAAAGCTAAATGTCACCCTTTGTTGCCCTCCTTCGATGTTGAAAAATGAAAATCAAGAAACAAAACAATCTATAAGCGCACCAAAGAAAAAAAAAACACACGCACACACACACAACTACAGCTGTAACCCCCGCCCTTGCTGCGTCGCGACAAATTCTCTCGTGTCTGCCTGGCGCACCCCCTTCGATGTTGCAACAAAAAACAATACAAAAAAAAAACAGGCAGCGCACCGCTAGAAAACAACCACTGCTACAGCTGTACCCGCATCCTCGCTACGTCGCGACAATCTCTCTCATGTCCGCCTGGCGCACCCGCGTAGTGGAATGCGCTACTATCATCGCCATCTTCGCTTTCGCTAGATAGAGCGCCGCTTCTCCGTTGCCACTCTCCTCTGCTGCCGCTTCCAGGACGCCGAAGTAAGACGACAGTTCACCATACGCCGGTGGCACGGCGCACACGCCCCGTGTCCTCATCGCCCCTGTCCTCCTCGTGTTCGTCCTCCTCCTCGCGGCCGGCAGACACGTGCACCCCATGCTGAGAAAAAAGCCAGACACGGCCGGACAAAAGGGAACGAGCTCATGTTGAGAAAAAAAGAGGGGAAAAGACAGAGGGAACGAAAAAAGGGAGAGAAAAAGAAAACGACAATACTGCTGTAGGGGGAAAAAACTTGAACGAAAAAAAAAAGGGTCGCAACAAAAAAGGGTCGAAAAAAAAAAGTCCCGGCAACAAAAAAAGACCCGGCCGCGAACAACAGAAGAAATTTTTTTAAATATGTACAACAGCAGCAGCGTGTAGACTAGCGCACCTCCGGAAAGTCGCCTTTACGTAGGCCTTTCTTGCTTCCTCCGCCTCCTGCGGCAGCCTCGGCCTCTTACTTCTGCCGGTTTTTCTTCACATCCCGGACCAGCCGTACCGAGCACGCGAATCGGTCCGCTATCTGCTCATGAGTGACCTTGGCATCTATGAGCTTCAGCATCTCAAGCTTGGTGTCCAAATCCGGCCGCGCACGAGGCCCCTTACGAGAAGGCTTGAGACTTGTTACTCCCCCCATTCGTGACCTTCGGGCGTTTAGATTGTCCCCTTCCATCGGTGTCAGCTGCTGGCGCCTTGCGCTTGCCGTCCTTGGCGACGCACGCCCTGCAGATGCGGTGCTGTTCGTTGTCGCCAAACATGCTGCCGCAATTGCCGTGGAGCCGCCCGCCACATCCTCCCTTGCAAGGGTGGCCGTGTGGGGCCTGCGGCGTCTTATCCTGTCGAGCGCACAGTTCACCTTCCGCACATGGCATGGTACGCCCCTGCGTAGAGCTGTTCTGGTCTGCAGCAGAACCTGACCCTACTCCTCTGTCTAGAGTCTGTCCTCTGCCTGGTTGTCTGTGTGTGTGTGCTGTGTGTGTTCGCGCGGGGGGATGAACCGGCACTATTGACGGTGACAGTGGCGCCCAACCGGCACTATACCGGGCATGCTCACGATAGCGCCGGTATGGCACTATTGAGGGCTCCGCCTGTGTCCGGAGATTTTACCGGCACTAAACCGGGCACCTGGCACTATTCAACCGGCACTATGAAGGTCCCTCGACTGTACCGGCACTGCTGTATTCAGTTTTGAGACCCTCGTTCGTTCGGTGGCGTTATCCATTTTCTTCAAGATACAGTATACAGTGCATGATACGTGGCGTGTCCCGGAGATTGAGCCGCATTGAGCAGTTTTTTTTTAGTTCCTAACGCAATGCAGCTTTGGCCCCTGTCTGTGATCGTGCTCGTAATTGCTCCCACCCTTGGTTGTGCGTGATGCAGCAGAGCTTGTATCCTATCACTGCTGGGGTGTCGATTCTACATTCATAGCCGAGCCCTCTTTGGCGTAGCGCCCAGCATGCATACATGGCTGTGTCGCAGACGAACCATTTACAGGAACAACGCTGCTATTGATGTTTTGACAGGGATGTAGATGTGTGGCGCTGCCTGCCCTTTCCCCTCTCCCTCCCGGTGAACGCGACCCTGAGCTGGAGTGCTCATGAAGCGCATTAAACATGACAGGTGTAGGCTAACAGCTTGTGAGCGACACCCAACAAGGAGCGAGGAAACTATGGTACCTGCTCCCTCCCCTTTTCGTGAACTCCGCAACATTTGCACGGTTGAAATCAGTGCGAACAGTTGAAGGTTCTGGGCAGAAAGATCGGATCGGTTTTCATTGTGAATATCACCACAACAGCAACAACAACAACAAACGGTCGTCTCACTCTCGTTGCACCCCACGCTGCTTTATCGTGCTACTTCCCCATCTGCAGGTATCGGGTGTGGGCCAGCACCTGTCCCTTCACGGCTAGGTGCACCATGGTCGGCATCGTGGGCTCTTACCTGTTAAGCTTCTTCTTGCCGCAGCTGGACCTGGCCCTGAGCAACAGTCCCTTCAGAACCATCGAGAGCTTCGAAGGTGGGGGTGATAGCGGCGGCAGCGTCGGCACGCGAAACATGTTAGCCACGTGTGGAAAATTTCGCTGAAGGGTTTCTCGAAGAAAGTGAGGTCACGTTAGAGGTGTCACGTTAGAGGTCCTGCAGTGCCCGGCTCAGCACGGTTAGCTTTGACTACAGTCGTAGTGGTCCCGATGTATTGACATGTTGGGGCAAGAGCAGAGTATGCCACTACCGCCTATGACTTAAGATAACACACCCCCTTGACCAATTTTCGAAGCTCGATTTCTCATCTGCAGGAACAGTCACAGCGCCGAAAACGGCGGCGTTGAAACCGTCTCGTTTCGTTTATACATCCTCTTCGTCGTGGAGCAATCGAGCTTTGAAAATCGGTCCCGGGGGTGTGTTATCTTGTGTCATATACGGTATTCAGGGCGGTACCACTGTTGGCTACATCGGGTTGTGTACATTGTGAGATTGTGAGAAAATGTTTTTTATTCGCCACGATATCGGGCATGTCACTATTCAGGGTGGCACTCTATCGGGACCACTGCTGTACTTAATTATCGCGGTGACCGAGAGGAAGACTGCCAACAGCACGAGCAACGCCACCCAGCGGTTACACCTACGGTGCCGGTTCGTCCGTCCACCCGTAGCACATGAATAGTCTCGATGGCGCGACCTCGACTTGTACACACGCGAAAGCGGTGACGCTGCCACTGCTACTGCTCGTTCGGTGCATGGTTGATCCGTTACAACCTCTGTTTGCTGCTTTTGTCATTAGGTAATGAGGTGGTTTTGACCCCCTTTGCTGCCTCGTGTGCCAGCAGCATGCACCCCCTCCTCGACTCGAATAGTTTCTGTCCACATGCTGTATTCATGACTTTTCGCTGGTGCCACATCAACGTTAACAAGAAAGCCCGCCATGTTTTCCCCTCTCTGGGACTTTCTGCTGGTGGTCACTGCTGTGTTTAAGCGTTTCGATTTAGCGGACACTGCCGAGGCGGAGTTGTTTTGAGCAAGAATACACAGACTCTGGGCACAACACCACAAAAAAAAAAAAAAAACTCCCCATCAATAGTGCACTTGCTGTTCAGATTGAAGCTTGGGCTGGGGGACGCCTTTCGGCAAGGGCAAACGCACGGAGATCAATTTCGCGTTGTTGTGATTGATGAGCGTCTCGCACTCGGTGGGGTTAACAGCCCCGGGTGTTTCTGGTTGTTCCCTGGCGCTCCCAAGCGCGGCAGTTGTGTTGTTGTTGTTGTTGTTGTTGTTGTTGTTGTTGTTGTCGTTGTTGTTGTTGTTGTTGTTGTTGTTGTTGTTGTTGTTGTTGTTGTTGTTGTTGTTGTTGTTGTTGTTGTTGTTGTTGTGTGGCATGTGTCATACACCTGGTGTCGTGATACAGCGAAATACAAGGGTCCGAGAAGCTAGTGGCGGAGTGCCTGATCAGCTTTACGTGAAGTTACAGTCGCCTGATGGCTGGCCATATCATCTTTTTGCTGTTGTTGCGCCCAGCCTGCAAGCGGAAATTCGGGAGCCAGACTTAATCATCCCCGGCTGCCATCCCTCCTGACGTCGACCTGCAATGTCCGCCTCGTCTCGCGCCGTCTTCTTTCTACGTGCCGTCTCTCTCTCTCTCTCTCTCTCTCTCTCTCTCTCTCTCTCTCTCTCTGTGTGTGTGTGTGTGTCTCTCTCTCTCTTTCGTTTTTTCCCCGAACCGCAACTTCAACTTTGCCTTCGCTTGGCCCAGTGTACCGACTTGTGACGACGGTGTTCTGCAGCGGGGGTCTCCTGACCGTCATCTTCGGTCTCATGAGCTTCAACAGTGTGGGGCCCAACCTCGAGAGGTCACTCGGTAAGTCATTTTTTTGTTTTCGTAGTTCGATAGAATCTTTTCTTGTTGCGCGGGTTGTATTTTGTGAAGGGTGGTTCACAGTTTTTTTGAGCACGAGCTCATCCTAACCCACTTACTTCGGAGTAGAAGTATTAGTAAGTGCAGCTGAGATTCTCTCGAGCATACAAAGCTAGCAGACGGAGCATGGTGACCGGTGACAGTTACACGCCGTAACAGCAGCACTTTTCAAATGTAGCAATCAGCTGTTTTGAAGTATTCCTGGTGTACCGCGCTCTGTGGATAGATGTTATGTTCTTTGAGCATGTTGTAGTAATTTTTTTAGGCCGTCGCAAGCCTGTAGTCGGTTTCATGCCCCAGGAAAGACTCTCATCAACACCATCGGCCCCAAAAGTGTGAACCTGTCCACCACACGTCGATTTCGTGCCATGAAAAGAGGTCAGGCGCTCGTGTTTTTCAGCGGGTACTGGATCGAAGTCATCGCGAGCTGCCTCTGTGCCTTATGAGTTGCGTCTTTGCTTCACCACCCTCCCTCTTTGCTCGACCTTCGGACTGTTTTTTCTCATCTTTTTTGCAGGATCTACGGGACTGCTTGCCCTCATGGTCACTCTCACAGCGTTGACCAACCTGGCCTTCATCGCCCTGTGCTACGTTCTTGTCATCATGGGAGAGGTACATGACGGTCCTCAGCAATCGACGCCAAACCTCATGATGTGTACTAGCCGGCCTTTGGTGTGGAGAATACCGTGTTTTTTCGAGTGTGGTATATAGAGGAATACAGTAAATTTCTTAGAATATTATGTCTCGCCCAGAGGCGAGGTGGTAAATGTTTGGCCAATAACAGACCTTCGCACGATTGAATTCGTTTTGAAACGGGTGATGGTTCGTATGCGTACCACGTTGAAATATTTTTCTAGCAACCCGACAAAACGGTGTCACCACGTGACGCCATGCAGCTGGCTCTTTTTGCGTTGCTGATGTCGGTCTACGCGTCACCACCCAACAGAAAGAAAAAGCCAAATCTTCCTGCGGTGCGTTTTATGCCATCACATGCGATATCGCCGTGCCTGCATTATTGATATTGGTGTTTTGATGGCACTATGTATGCCAGAAAATGGCCTCCTTCCACTACTGTTGGTTGAATCTCGATTTTGCTGCTTTTTTCGATGGCACTATGTATTCCAGAAAAAGTATGCTTTCTACTCTTCGAAGGGCATTTGGAACTTGCTGATCGCCCTCATCGCGGTGGAGTGCATGGCAACCCCGGACGTGCCCCGAAGGTACTGCCGTGCCCAACTTTTCCACGACTATGTACCATGCGTCATGGGCTAGATCAGTACGGACAGATGTAGGGTAGATAGATCGGGCCGGCCGTTTTTTTTTTGTGAAGACAGCCGCAACAAGCATGCGTTTTCTCTGTTGCTATTGCTATTGCAGCTGATCACATTTGTAGCATCACGCAAGATGTATCGCCGCAGCCATCGCCACCCTACCCCGCGGCGTGGGAGAACCTGCACGCTGTTGTTTGTGTATGCAGAAGCACAACTGAGCAGAAACCTTGACGGATCTCAGGAGTTACCACCACATAACAGAGACCGAGTAATACCGGAACGGTACATGGATCTTTGAAGGTACCTAAACAACATTTTATCTTGCAGGTTCTTCATTCTCCCGTGGGACATTCCTGGGAAGTACTACCCGCTGTTCCTGGCGTGCCTGTTTAGCTTCATGAGGGGGAGCTGGATGGATCTTTTCTGTGCCGCCGGGATTGGCTACGCCTACGCTGACGTGAGCTATGTCCAAACCGCTAGTATGGTTCGTGCGAACCTATCTCCGATCGTCCGACAGGCGTTTCCGAAATTCGATGGCAGGGTTTGTCTCCGTTGCTGTAGTTGCACAATCTCTGAAATGATAGATAGCCGTGTCGGTTGCATCTTCGTAACTCTGGTTGGCGAGGTTGCACCGCCGTAACTCTGCCTTTTGTGCTTGCTGCAGGGACGCCTGGACCGGCTGAAGCCGTCGAGGTCTAAGCTGGCTAGCTGGGAGTCGGGCTGCATGGCGAATTTCGTGGAGAGGCCGGTGAGCAAAGCGAAACGATCAGCTTGCTGCTTGGTTGGAAAGGTTACCGGTGCAAGCTTAACTCCGGCTTGTTTGAGCGCGTCGCCCCACAGATGTGAAGAGCCTCAGCCAAGCTACTGCTGTTGTGTGACCTAGCTAACTTAGCCTTAGCCTTTCTTGGGTTTCGTGTATGCATATAATGTATAGTGGTGTCGGTATTGTAGTGCTGCCGCTGTCGTTGCAGTTGCGTTGGCATCGTTTTTCTCATCGTGTGCTGCTCGTGCTGTGCACCGCTGTCAATACCAACGACAACGGTTTGGGCATGGTCCTGTACCTGCAACCGCTCGGCGCTTTCCCCCCGCTCGACGTATTCAGCATTGCCCAAAACACCGCACGCCCCCAAACACCTGAGCATCCGTCGATCATGGAACCACATACTCCGCTACAACAATATCCTCCACGTGCCCCCTCCCCCCCCAACCCTTGATCGGTTGCCATTGCAGGGCTACATCGTCAGCGGCGCTGCGATGGGGGCGGCCGCCTTTGGCACCCCCCTCAACAACCCCGCGGACCACCCGTCCAACCAACGTGCCGAGGGCGGGGGTGGCGGCGGTGGGTTTTCCAGTTTGTTTGGAGGCGGCGGCGGTGGGGGCGAGAGCGGTGGGGGGGCTCCGGGGGGAGGAGATGAAGGAGGTAAGGGAGCCCGTAGGCAACCATCCGTATGGCCGCTGTGTGTTCGTGTGCTGCTGAAGCTGCAGCTCTTGTTGTTGTTGTTGTTGTTGTTGTTATTGTTGCTGCTGCTGTTGTTGGCGCTAGCAAACACCTGTCGTGCTATGGTGAAACTTCGAAGTACGATGGTGAGCTCGAAAACACGCAACGGGGTCGTGGAAGCAACAGACCAGCCTGTCGCTAATGGTGGTGATGGTCGTATGAGTGGCGGAAGTACGTAAGCTTAACTGAGGAAGAGCCAAGGGAGCGCTTGGAACGACGCTGAGTCAAGCTGGTCGCGACTACGAATGGCGAGGAAGGCGACCGATCCAATTATCCTCCTGTCGGGGGCGCATTCTACACTCATCATCTAACGTTGCTTTGTCCGCGGCATATGCTAAACTTGTGGTCTACTGATGGGGCGGCTGTACTGAATGGGCACCAGCTTGCCTTGCCTTGTTGATGTGACGGCATGCCTCCCCCCTCCCCTCGCTCCTTCAGGGTTCGGGTCGAGCAACGTGATCAAGAGAGGGGGCACCGCAGGAACATCGTCATTGTCGGGTGATTCTTTCGCCGGATCGGGTCAGACTCTCGGCGGGGGAGGCGGGGGAGGTGGGGGCACGAGATCTTCCGGCCGGAGGTGAGAAGAGACAGAGAGAGACGGTGGGATGGAGAATGAGAGAGAGAGAGGAGAGAGAGAGGGGGGGGGAGACAGACAGACAGACAGACAGACAG